AAGGAAAGGAAAAAGGAAAGGAAAAAGGAAAGGAAAAAGGAAAGGAAAAAGGAAAGGAAAAAGGAAAGGAAAAAGGAAAGGAAAAAGGAAAGGAAAAAGGAAAGGAAAAAGGAAAGGAAAAAGGAACGGAAAAAGGAAAGGACAAAGGAAAGGACAAAGGAAAGGAAAAAGGAAAGCAAAAAGGAAAGGAAAAAGGAGAGGAAAAAGGAAAGGAAAGAGGAAAGGAAAGAGGCAAGGATTGGTGTGGCATTCTAAGTGTTACAAATGCAGCCGGGAGGGACAAAAATCGTCAAGGAAAGCATAATTCATGTGGAAATCAGCAAAAATCATAAGACACATGCCCCCAAAACCCTTGGACGCATTCTATGTGTAACATTTCTGGCAGCATTCTAAGTGTAAAACCGTCTGGTTAACTTTCCAAAACGTCATTCTAGGTTTCAGTTCTCGACTATATAATATATATATATATATATGTATATATACAATTCATTTTTGGAATTCATATCAACCATGTGGTCGAAACGCCAGAAACTCACAAATGCGATTTAGGGGACAACAACTAGCATATTCACACCAGAACAGGGGATTATATAATAAATTGTATATACCATCAAGAGTTTAAGTCTGAGTTCTAATAGCAACGGACTGAAACTTAGAATGCCTTGGACCAAACAAATATTGAAAGGGTCTCCAAATATGGCGATAATCATGCGCACTTAGAATGCCTCATAAAAGTCCAGCTCGCAGGTTTGAATGTTTTAGCGATGGAGGCATTCTAAGTGAGGCCAAAAAAAAGGCATTCTAAGTGGCACCGTTAAAAATCTTGAGAAACATGGCGGCATTCTAAGTTTCAGTCCGTCGCTATACCAGTGGTAACCGCACGAGGCGGGGCGGAAGCTGCCTTAGGGATATACTATAAGACCTTTCTCATCTTTAGCACTTGCATGCACCGTGCGCCAGCCAGGCCCGTGCGTGCATGCTTTGTGCGAAGCTGTTGCATGACCTGCGCGCGACCCCGGCGCAATGCAACGCCAAGCGAAGACTTTCCTCACACTTCACATTGCACTCTTCAAACCCTACACTCCACACTTCACACTTGCACTTCGCACTTGACACTTCATCTCATCTCAAATCATGTGAGCTCTTCTCACCTCATCTCAGCTCTTCTCATCTCATCCCATCTCTTCTCACATGTCATCTAAGTAAGTTCTTCTCAACTGTTTTCATCTCATCCGAGAGCTGGTCAACCTTTCTCATCTCCTTGAAGTTCGTCTCAACTCATCTTAGCTGTTCTGCACGCCAGAAAGCTCTTACTGTCAGAGAGAAGTCTCCTGCACAAAAAACCATTGGGTGAGTGCAAAAAGTTTTTGCACACAGACACTTGAGACACAAATGCCTTTACTTTACATACAAAAGCCTTTCCGAAGTACTTTGTACTAAAAAGCTTGCAAAAAGTACTTCCCAGTACTACTTTGTACTACAAAGCTTGCACAAAGTATTTCCCAGTACTACTTTGTACTACAAAGCTTGCACAAACTACTTCCCAGTACCTTAAGGTTTTTTAAATATAAGTTGCTTACAGTCGGCTTATAAGCTATTCATAAGCTGCTCACAATTTGATATAACGTGCCTTAAATTATGTTAAGTAACTTGTAAGTATAGATCATTACTTATAGGTTACTTGAGTATACTTAGATCAACTTAGGCTGGTTAACATGTTTTAGTTAGATTGGAGTTAGATCATACTGAGGTTTGACTTAAGTCTAGTTGGCTATTGTTGCAATTTTTGTGTCAAACAGCTCTCAGGACTGGCTTCTTTTGTAGCCATTTGGGGGAAAACTGTTGGGAAACCAGTCATGTTGGATCAAACATCATATATGACATGGAAAGGACCAAAGACTGCAAAACAGAACCTTTTGCGTCTGCATGGCATGTCGGCCAGATGTCGGCCAGCATTCACATGCAACACGTTCGCAGCATGTCGGCCTGCATGTCGGCCCTGCTAAAGTAATATTAAACACCATGTTGCAGGTTTGCACACCGCGTGTCGGCTGGATGTCGGCCAGTGTCGGCCATCAGATTTTCTCTGCAGCCACTTTTTGCTCTGTGCAAACTGAAACCTCACCATGAGATCTATGAGCCAGTGTGGTGGCGATCACCTTCCTCTACTAACAAAAACCGCACAAAAACAAAAAATGCGCCAGCAAAGGGAAACCACGTTTAAAAAAAAAAGCTACTTAACTTTAACTTAACATGAACTTAGTAACTTCGTTCTAAGTTGTCCTAACACTAACTATCTTAACTTCACCTAACTTCATTCTAAGTAACTGTATTTCAACCTATTAAAAAAAAAAACGTAAGGTACTACGGTACTACTGTCTACCGCAAAAGCTTGCAAAAAGTCTTCCCACCACTAGCAATTTTACACAGAAAAATGCAAGGTTTCGTGCTCCGGCTTCCTCCCCAAAACAAAGCCCATGCAACATTCATGCAGCCATTACAATACGTTTCGCAGCATCCCGTAGCAAACCTGCATCTCTCTACGCACATGGAAACACCAAATGACAACAACCATGCGGCCACCCCAATGCGATCTGCAACCACAGATCCAAGAAACGCATTGAACTACGCGCATAGTACGTCCGGAACGACCGCAGCCGCAACCGCCGCACACACAAGGTACCTTTCACCGCCGCCTGCGGCCACTTTACACGGAAAAATGCAAGGTTTCGTGCTCCGGCTTCCTCCCCAAAACAAAGCCCGTGCAACGTTCATGCAGCCATTACAATACGTTTCGCAGCATCCCTTAGCAAACCTGCATCTCTCTACGCACATGGAAACACCAAATGACAACAACCATGCGGCCCCCCCAATGCGATCTGCAACCACAGATCCAAGAAACGCATTGAGCTACGCACATAGTACGTCCGGAACGACTGCAGCCGCAACCACCGCCCACACAAGGTACCTTTCATCACCGCCTGCAGCCACTTTACACGGAAAAATGCAAGGTTTCGTGCTCCGGCTTCCTCCCCAACACAAGCGTCACCACTTCCCTTCGTCACCATTTCCCTAGGTCACCACTGCCCTTCGTCACCACCCTGTGTCATAGCCTATTATTCTTTTGTGATGTATTGTTATGTGATGTCAAGTCTCACACCGCCCTTCATCAATGTCAAGTCTCACAATTCTACTTGTCCGTAACACGGAAGTTTTGCTTCCCAACTTCCTTTGATAAATTATAAAATATCATATATAATCAGCACATCAGCTTCTGCGACACTCTTGCCAAGTGGCTGGTTCCTTCGAAGCTTCGGAGGCTGCCAAGGTTTTCGGTAGTATTATGCCCTTGCAGCCAAAAACCCACAGCCAAAAACAACAAGAACATGTTTAATTTTGAACAAATGACCCAACCATGTGGCCCCAAGTCGCCAAGTGCAGTGCAAAGAAAATTACACCCAACCGTGCAATACCGTGCAAAGTGGGTTGCTTCATCCAAAAATTGCACGGCAGGGCGCTGAGTCAGAGGATTCCAGTTCCATTGAAACAGTGTGCATGGCCGTGGTTTCTATGGATCTGGTTCCGTCCATATATTCTTCAGCTTTCCTGGCGCACCAAGGTCACCAAAGGTTCCAGTTTTGCTTGTAATAACGAGTGATTACGAATGGCAGAAAAGCAAGCCACAGTTTCCGGAGAAGCTGAAGGAGAATCATTGGTTTGTCTGAAAATATAATGCACTCTCTCTCTCTCTCTCTACATCTTTAAATCCACTGGTTAATCATGGTCGCAGGGTCACTTTGGAACACCAACACCCAGGATCTTGCTTGGCCAGTGCGCGGAATCGCGAAGTGTCACTCTCGAACAATAGCATTCTGGGGAGGCTTTGGGGTGGGATGGTAACGTCTACCTGAACTTGTAACCAAAGGATGGCGTGCATCAAGAGACTGGGTCGGGTGGGCTTTGGCTCGGTGGGATGGTAACGTTATGTAACGTTCGTTTACAGTAAAGGGCAACAGGCCAACAGATCAGCCAAGTGATGGCCATGGCCTTCCCGGCGACCCTTCTTTCTCGAAAACTTTCTGTGTCATCTGGAGCCTGAAAAATGGCACGTGGAACATCGTGGAACATCGTGGAACGTCGTGGAACGTCGTGGAACGTCGTGGAACTTCGAATTTTCAACGATGATCTTGGCATCGTGATTCTGTATGAGCTTGATTCTTCATGGAACAGGAATGAACAGGATATCCCAACGTATCTGCTACGTACTTACCTGTGATTCCAAGGGGGCGGTGGGATTAAAATATAGAGTATGCAGTATGCGGAATGTGTATATATATAATTATATATATATACATATTCATATGAATAAATATCATGTAACATCACATGTAATGTCACATGGAACATCATGTAACATCACGTAATATCACGCGATGTCATCCATCTGTCCGTGCATATGATTGCATGCATGCGCCAATCCGTTCATCATCCTTGGCCCCAGGAAACGTTGAAGCACCAGCATTACCATGGCCATCCTCTATCACTCAAACTGACTGTAGACCTGTCAAAGGTTCACCAGAAATCTTTGACAGGTTAAAACATGTTCGCTGCAACCTGGACGTTTGCCCGGAGTTGATGTCCCACCTTCCTAATTTTGATCCCTCATGAAAATAAAGTTGATGTTATTACCCCAATCAACATATTGTTCTGAGGAGGTGGCAAATTTAATTTTGATCCCTCATGAAGATAAAGTTGATGTTATTACCCCCTTCAACATTGGTCAAAGGGGGTGGCTTTAATCCCTCATGAAAATAAAGTTGATGTTATTATCCCAATCAACGTATTGTTCAGAGGGGGTGGCGAATTTTGATCCCTCATGAAGATAAAGTTGATGTTATTTGATGTATTATCCCAATCAACGTATTGTTCAGAGGAGGTGGCAAATTTTGATCCTTCATGAAGATAAAGTTGATGCTATTTCCCCAATCGACATATTGTTCTGTTATGTCACAATCATGAGTCTGGGCGAACGTTAAGGTTGCGGACAACATGTTAAAACTAAATATATAGAGCATTCTTATAGAATTACTGCTATATCTATCAGGGTTACATATGATATTATATGATATCATTTGGGTGCAGCACTGTTCGCTGTTCATGCACAGCACCATGCCGCCCAAGCACCGCAGCATGTGCAGCTGGTTCTGTATGTCATCTATCTTGTGCGACAAGCCATGGAAATGGGTTTGCGACATGTCCTAGGAACCAGTGAAAATGACAATCGCATGGAGGAGGCACCTGTAAAACAAAAGGTCCCGTGATGTGAATCGGAAAAACAATGCAAACAACAGTTGAACATCAAGTAAACCATGGTAAAACCATCTCCACCCCCCAAAAAATGCTGGAAATGCTATGGAATGCTATGGAATGCTGTCATTGCATGATCTTTGGAGTATTTTGCCACGGGAATGGCGGGAGGGAAACCTGGGCAAAGGCCGATACCAAGCATCATAGAGATCTTCCTGAAGATTGATGGATTGCCTCAGCATTCTGGATCCGGGCGCAAAAGAAATCACCTTTGCAGTCCATGTGTTCGTGGACAAAAAAAAGTCCTGTCAGCATTGTGCAGTTATGCCCACGGGATTGCAGGACAGGTAGAACAAGGCAAGTATCTCTGCATTTCATCTGACGGTTTCTTTGCCAGCTGAGAGAGTGGCTATAATGCTGAGAAAGGCAGGACACCCCAGAACCACATCTTTGAATCCCTGTGTGGCTGCGTAGTAAATCATACTTAAATACATACATGTGATACAATGTGATACATGTGTTTCTTTATTCAAACTTAAGACTATATAATACCTTTCGCTTTCAAAGGTTGTTTTTTGTGGCTTCAGTCAACCAAGTCAAAATTGCTTCATCAAGCCAGATTCGCTCCTTTCCGCAGCTGAGAGGCAAGAGGTTGTACTTAATGAATCGTGGTGCCGTCTTTGAATCATGCGCCCAGCGGCTCAAAGGTCCAATAAATTCCGCCTCAGGGCGCCGCTGACCATGCTGACCGGCGCCTTGTGCCGGCGCGTGAGATACCAGGCTTTGGTAGGCTTGAAACATGTTACACGCAATTGACTTTATTCAACTTGATTCAAGTCTATTCTACTGGCCTAAATGTGTGCCGGCCAAAAGACTGGCAGTGCACCAATCCAAATGTCCCACCAAGGGGCCACTTCAATGGTACCTGAACTGTCATTATCCTCAGTGGCACAGTTGGAGAGATTGATGGCGGGGTGCTCTCTCTCCTGATTTTGTGTAGAACCGGGAAGAGAATCAAACAAAACCACACTTCATCACACTTCAATTGCATTCCTGAAGACTTGAACATGCTACAGCACTTGGGGCAGTCGGCAATTGGTGCTGTTTTATCCCTCTTCACTCAAATCTTCCTTCTCAGCGCCATTTACTGAATGTTGAGCTGCTGTGAGAAGCTGCGGACTGATGAGAAAGAAAACGTAATCCAAAGAACAACACATTCCAAAAGACTGGGCCTTTGTGCCAAAACTGTGCCCTTGAGCTGGTTTATGCCATTTGATTCCTATGTAGAGCGAGGATCTGGATCCACGATGCACACCGCAGGATGCTAAGCATGTATGACAGGATTAAACGGTGTTCGTCAAGAAAACAACATCTCACAAGCAGCTCCAAGATATTTCGCCATTAGAATCTATGATAATCTGAAAGAAAGCTCAGTGGTGTTAAACTACCACCGTCAACAAGAAGAAAACACATAATTCCGCAGCGATCAGCCGTGGGTCAATCATTGAAAACAACTGCATTAGATCGTTCTCATCGATGTCCATGACCTTAGATGTCTCAACGTGTGCTGCAGAAGGCATCCGGTTTTGAACATAAAAACATAAACCTGGAAAAAGCCAAAAATGCAACTGGAAACCTGTATACTGTATATATTGGAACCTAAAAAGATTGGGCACCTGACATGCCTGCTCCATTGCTTTCACCCTGTCTTCCAACTTGGGCTTTTTACATCCATTTACAGTCCCCAAATCGATTTTTTGGTGTGGAAAAAGAAAGGGTTTGAGGCTGTTTGAGGCTGCCACTGTATGCATGAATCTTAATGGGATACAGGGCCTACTCTTTAGTTTTGGCTCCCAAACACTTTTCAGGATGTGCAAGGAAGGTGATAGGGGCATTCAGCCTGCAATCTTTGGATAGGGGCATTCAGTGATCCCCAAAATTTGGACTCTGCAGGATTCATCATTACACCGGCCTTTCAGAAATAGCTATTGAAAATGGCCATTCATAGTGAGTGATCCCATTAAAAATGGTGGATCTTTCCATGGTTTTACGTAAACGTTTACCAGAGGCTAGAATTGTCTGGTTCCAACGTCTTCCATCGGCCTTCGGAGCCTAAGTCACCCTCAAGCGGCTCTGAAAGGCAGGATCGCTCCGAGCACCTTCCAGGAGTTCATCCATCGTCAACTGCCTGACCGTTGTGACATTCGACGATGGAACTCGATGGAACTGGATGGAACTGATCAGATGGTGTTGGAATATCAGGCCGCCAGGCCTATGTAGATCTTAAAACAGCAGCTATAACATAATGACTACCCTCTGGAAATTTAATAAAGCTATTGAACATGGCCATTTATAGATTTTATAGTTGATTTACCCATTAAAAAGAATGATTTTCCATGGCTGTGTTAGTTTACCAGAGGGTAATTCTAAGGTGGGTTTTGGTGTGCTACACTTGAGCTTTTCTGGTTTTCCGGTAAAGGTGAAACAGGCCGCTGAAGTATTCCAAGCTACCCACTACCATCGACGTCAATCCGGTTGAAAATTTTCTGCAAGTCTTTCCTTTGCAATTCGCCAACGGAAAATCGCAAACAAGAACCACATGCCGTATGACATGATTCATTAATCCAAAGTCAAATTGATATCCTGCTATGCAACCTGCAATATTTATCAGCCAGCATGTTTCTACCCCTCCGGAGGCATTGAAATGGGCTCACCCAAGGTTCTTGTCAGCAACAATGTCATCATCCAGTTCCTCTGCCAAATTTTGTACATCTCGTTGCCTGAACTTGCAAGGATCTGAACAAACCTATGATACTAAGCAGGACCGTGGGCAATACCAATCTTCAAAGAGTTAGTGAAAAACGCAAATCTTCACAGAGCTGAGATACCTTCAAAGCAACCAATTCTGATCGGTGTAATGATGGAGCAAGCATCGAATGTGGGAACCGCAAACACCATGATCATGATAAAAATGAACGATCTGGTAGTGCCACTGACCGCAGGCATATCATCATGCCGTGCCATGAAATATGATGCTGGACTGTTTGGAAGTTTGGCGTGATTTTTGTTTTCTGCTTCCTACTTGGTCAAAGGGGTGGTAGCGAATCACCTCAAAAACAAATCTTGAGGTCAGGGGCGAAGGTACGAAAGCCGGGCGGGATATGCATTTGGGCGCAAAAGTTGTCGCCTTGCATGGCCATATTAATAATTAGTGACAACGTGTTTATTCATCTGCTGCCGGCGATGAGCGTCCTGTGGGAGAAAGGTGACGCATATGTCCGGACGCATTTGTCCGGAAGGATAGTAATCCCTTATTCACCTTATTCCTATTACTAAAACTCTCCCAAATAAACAAAATAGGATTGGTGTGGCACTTCCGTGTTTTTTTGGTTGGGCACAATTGGATTCTTAATTGTGGTAATTGAGAATCAATAGGAGAACAGGATGGCGAAACAATGGGTTCAACCCCCTATCAATAAAGATAGGTTGCCACCTGGTTTTTTTAAGTTAGGGTCCCATCTCACAAGTTTTATTTTCTATTTTTATTAAGGTTTTCATTGGAACATTAGGGGAAAGCTTCGAAATCCAGTTTTGGGCATGTTTATATATATATGATTTAAATAAGGGATTTAATCAAATTTGAAATCGTTTGTTAATTTTAATTGTTAGGGTTCTCACTGGAATATTAGGGGAAAGCTTCGAAAACCAGTTTTTTGTATTTTGTTAATATAGATTTTTAATTAGGGTTTTCATATTAGGGGCACCCAAATACAAAATACACCAGAATAATAAAAATAGATCACCGTGTTTACCATTTGGGGGAAGGGGGTGTGTTTTAGTAATAGGGAGAGAGGATTAGCTAGTTTAAGAGAGACAAGAACAACAAGCGCCACCAAAACAGAAACCGAAGATTGATGTTTTTTGGGCTCGATGCATAGACAAGAAACAAAAAGGAGAGAGAGAGAGATTTTAAAACAAGTATATGATGAATTCATCATCTGAATTATGAAGGAAGTAATTCAAAAAAGGCCATACATATTATAATAATATTTGCTAATCTATAGAAACGGATGTGATGAATCCCTCAACGAAAAAACCAGGGGGCCACTACTTTGCATTAATGGCGCAGGATGCGTTCATGGAAAGCTCTGCGGATCAACATTGTTACGGGATGATCTGTGAAAATCCAAGGGGCCTCGCATCCGCAAAAGTATCAACAACAACGGCAACGATCACCTCAGCATCTCGATGGACCAACGCTGCCTACAGGTGAATCTTATGTGAACAACTTGGAAAATCTGTGCGCATCCTGTGATCAACCAGGGGCTGGAGAACACATCTTTTAAGGATCGCGATTTAGTATGATTTAGGCTTGAAAAGATTTAGTAGTGACAAAATACACATTGCCAAATGCGCAACCCATGTGTCATCCGAACATGTGATTGTAGACTTCAAACTAAGAAATGCTTATGATATTTATGTTCAAGAGTGCACCCCTACAAAATGAGCAAGTTCCTTGTTGACAAGTTCATCATCCAACTGTCAAAATCCAACATGTTTCCATATTTTTTCCCATAGGTACTTCAGGACCTGTGAGTTTTGCACCCAAATCAGTTCAATCCTTTTAAATATTTTAAATCAGAAAAAGTACCCTAGTTAAGCTGCATCAATGATCATCAACATGATATCATCAACCATTCCATTCTGCACTATTGCCTTGTCACACCGAAGTTGGTTCATCTTCCGGCGCATGAAACTCTCCAGCATGGATGCTGGTCGAATATGACACGGCACTTTGCGCAGGCAAACATCATAAAATAACACCAGCTGCGGCCCCAAAATAAATAGGTCCAATATGATCCAATGCGTTCCACAATACCAAAAACAGTGGTTTCTGGGTGGTGTTCAATATTAGGTGTAACAGATTGCAAGGGATCATATGAATGTCCACTATAATGCATGAATCCAAATTTTGCCAGTTTCCGCATTGCAGCTCTGCTTTCAAGGCTAAAGAACGCTAGTACAAAAACCTGCAAAAAGAACCAGCTGCTGCCAAGCGACATTTAAAACTCCGAAAACCAGGGTCACCAGGCTACCAATGAAAATGACTAGTGTGCCTGGATTCTCTTGGATCACTGGCACTGCAATCTGGCCCCAGCTATCACCAGCCACCACAGTTTTGAAGAGCAACAAATTCGCCTCAAAAAGCTGTGGTCGAAAATTGGCCAGATTCAGAAACAATTCAAACAAACATAAACAAACCATGTGCACATGACCGAATGGCATGCAACAAGACTTAAGTGTGTTGGGTTCTGGCTTGTCTAAGGTTCGCATCCGCTGAGGGCAGAACATTCATCACTGAAGATGTCGCATATTGACAAGATTCACAACTGTCAAAATACGCCATCCTGAGATGATTTCTGAATGGATAAAAAAAAACGACGTTCCACCGAACAAAACCACCAAGACTTGCTTGCAACATTGGGCGCAGGAAGGCACAAACACCATCTAGGTTGCCAACACCCTGATTCATGTGTCTAATGTTGAACCCTACCGTGCTTCCATTCGAAACAACGGTTACCCTACTGTGATAACTGGACTATATATATATATGGGAACACAATAGAAAACATTTGTCGCAACATTGCTTTCTCGCGGCCCAGGCGCTTTTCCTGCATGTCTTTCACGGTTGGATTCACTATCTCAACCATCAACATAGCCCAGACGGTCATGACAAGAGCACAAAGCCTCAGCGACTCACAATATGCACCTAGCAAGGCATTATCTTACATTGTGTGGAACATATATAAAATAAAATTTAAAAATATAATATGAAATAATAGTAACGAAAAAACATAATGGAACATAATATAATTTAAAATAAACATATAAAATAATAAAGGATAAACAACTATAATATGATAAACTCAAACTATAATTTGATTTTATTTAATTTCATAAATTGAAACAGACTAAAAAATAAATCATTATCAATTATTATAATAACAAATATTTGAAAACTATTTGTTTAAACTATTTGATATATTATGTTTGTCGTATAACAAAACATAATATAACATAATAATAAAATAAAATATAACATAAAAGAAAATCACATTATTTAATACAATATAATATAAACTAGTATAGCACTATAGTAAAGCATAGTAAAGTATAAGTTGTATATATATATAATATGTATATATATATAATTGTAAATATATATATAATTATATATATATATATTTGTTAAGGACAAAAACTAAAGGTCACAAAGGCGGTCATGAGCAAAAAATTATCGGTTTAGATCGTTCGCTATATTGATTTACATGCTTTTGGAGCATGACAAACAATGGCTGTTGATTTGGAGATCATTTCCATTCATATCCACAGAATCAAAAATAGGTGGTCAGCAGTCTGCTGTCCACTGTTTGGCTTCAAAGTGCAGGAGGAATTTCCCTCAGAACAGCTTGGTTTTGCACTGTTGCGTGCCTTCCGCTTCCACGGATTTTGTTCATCTGTTTTTGATCTTCAGATCAAAGTTTTATTCGATGGTAGGTTTCAAGGCGAGGCTGGGCCACCCCAAGTAGATGTTTCAAAACATTGACGCAAAATTGAAGTGCGCCACTCCAGGGATGGATTGGGTCTCTGGCTGCCCAGGGCCTCTTCTGGCAATTTTTGGTTATCGCTACGTTGTCGATTTGGTTACCGATAATTTCATCTGGTAAAATCAGGAAACATGTGAAAGATTGCTTCTCAAGCACAGTCTCTGTTTTCCCCTGTGTTGTGAGGTTTTGGCAGCAAGTTCTGTGGTCAGAAGTGCCTACTCTAGGCCTTTTGGGAGCAACTCTAGGGGTTTTGGGAGCCCCTGGGTTCACATCCGACGAATACTAAAACAATGCATACGAGCCTACCATACAATCCCAAGTGGCTGCGAAAAACAACAACACCTTTCAACTTCACCATCAAATCACGTTATCGCTTTAAGTAGTTCACCACATTGCTTTCCATGGTTTGCGACATATTTTCAACCATACCCTTAGGCTCCAACGTCTGCAACATACACTAACATTCGAGAATGTAAGGTCTGGACGAGGTATTGGTACAAGATAGGGCAACGTAGCCAAAATTTCGCTACATTCAAATATAACCTCCGAAACCCTCCGAAAGCCCTTCGAAAAGACGGTTTTTCAATCATCGATTCGAGCCCTGTGATTTCACAGCGTGTGTCTGAAGCCGTAGCATCCACCGAAGCAACACACGCAATTCGAGCAGTCGCCTATGTACTTTTCTACAGAGTCCTTTCAATGTACCAATACAATCTTCGTCAATATACGTATGATAGAAGCGGATGTTGTAGAGCTCGATCGTGCCAAGATAGCAAAGTTCTTGAAAGATCTTGGTGGGCAGCACAGCCACAACAAGAGTAAACAATAACACACCCCCTCACAAAAGCAAGGGATTTCCAACAACCCCCCTTCAAACCAAAAAAGCAAATGTAAATTCAGGTGAATCACGTGGTGTTTCGGTTTCAAAGGGTATCGCAAGATGCCAGCATCCGCAGTTCGCTGAGCCAACACGCTGTAAACATCCAAAAACCTGGGATCAACACACCAAAAAAGAACGCAGAAAATCACCTGCGTAAGGTGTTTTGGCCAAAAAAAAATCTTAAAGTGCACCAATGGTTTGTAGAGTGAGTCGCTTACACCCCAACTTGTAAATGTGATCGGCTTCTTCTTGGCTCATGTAGCGCGGAGTCATCTCGATGAGGAGGAGCCATTCACTCATCTTTTGAAAAGCAGCACAAGCTAGCGCCAGATTGTTGGGTCTTGTTGCGTTGTCAAACTTGTTGCATGCTTCTTGTAAACAAACAGCCAGGAAAGACACCATGACACGATTGGACCACGCTTTCAGTTTGAGTTCTGGGTAGTCAGTACTAGTGATCCCCAACAAGGCCACAGGAAAGCTGTGCTGGTAGTGCCTAAGCTGGGATGGCTGAAAGCAACAAATTGGTGCAGTCTTAAGCTGCAACCAGAACCAAAACAAAAACAAATTCCAACAAAAATCAAAAGACAACTTGTATTATTCAGACTGAGCAGCTCAATGGAGTTCACTCTGCACCAACTGTTGAACGCATGGGTCATTGAGACCAATTTCTCACTGAGTTTTTCAGCTTTGAAGAAAGATATATCGCAAAGGTCCAGAATAGCCGAAGCATTCATCCACTGGGCTAATCCCAAGTGGATGGTATGCATGGCACACATGCGTATAAGTCCCGGTGAAAACCCCGTAATCATACATAAAGGTGATACCCATGCATGGATGCACTTCGTGAAAAACTCTGGCGCGGAGTATCTGCGAAATGGGAAGGAGCCAAATCTTGAAAACCTCAGTGTGCTTTCAACATATTTCTTGAAAAATAGGGTGAAGAACATAAAGAAGCAACATCAAACTCATCCGAATTATTTGGTCTATGCTCAACCAAAGTTCTGGGAATCGCCAGCTCTGGTAGTAGCAGTACACATATGGCAAACAGCAGTAGCGTTGTAGCCCATTTTCATTCCAAATGATTCCCGGTGCCATTTCCAATCTCCCCGGTATTCTACAGTTGCATAAGCTTCGCTCATAGGTGTGTTCGCTTTGGCTCTGCGAAATTTATCTAGCAATTCCCCATCTGCGTCTCTCTCAGGCCACTTGCCAATGTAGGCAACCTGGTTCGTTGAGCCAAGTCAGCTGGCAAAGGGGTATGTAAAAATATTTATATGTACATAGATATGTATATATATATATATACACCTCGTCCAGACCTTACATTCCCGAATGTTAGTGTATGTTGCAGACGTTAGTGTATGTTACATGCCTTAGACCCAAGTATTTTAGCGACGCACCAAACAGGTGATAAACACAAATAAATCAAGTGATTAATGGAGATCAGGGTTCGTTCAAGGACCAAGCAATCACTCTGAAAATGGGATCAAGAGTCTTGCACCCCAAACACAGCTCGTGCCGCAGAATGAATATGGGGAACCGGGACAAATCCAGACCTCGTGGTGCTGGATCTTATGGGAAGCAAGTCAACAAAACAATTTTGGGGCTGAAATCCAAAACCAAATCAGCTGCTCAGACTAGCCAAATGTCTCTTTACTTTGTAGAGGACCGATGATAACATGACCACGATGAATTTCGCACCAGCAAGCGTGTACTTCGCGTCATCACCAGCAAGCCCTATCGGTACCCTCATAACCCCGTCATTGCTATTGGCATCATCTGATGCAGGATGGCTTGGCATGTGGGCCTTCCAATGATGCCAAAACTTTGCCACATCATCCTTTTTCACGTTGACCTTCCCCGTCACCTGCCAGTTTGGTAGCCATAGTGGTGGAGACTTGAAACTCGATATGGATATGGCCTGGGTATACGTCAAACATGAATACCCCCAAAAAAATGAAGGTTATATATATAACGCTCAACATAAACTAGAACCTGTGGTCCCAATCAATATACTATATATATATATATGAAATCCAGCATCCCCATCAATAAATATTTATAGACATATTGTAAAGGGGCATGTTTCAAATTCTGACCAACACTTGAGACCAGGAGGCATGAAGGTACTCTAGAAGTTCATGTGGAAGCAACATAGGGAGCCGCAGAGTTGTTTTGCGTTTTCTCTCCGGGTCAGTCATGTCTCGCACTGGCACATGGGTGAAATAGATGTCCTCAAGTTTGGTTGAGATTCCAGTTCCCAGTAAGTCCCACTTTTTTGGGGTGATTTGACAAATGTACCTCACATGCCACTTGACATACCCCTTTACTTGCTTTGATGGGATGAGCAACCCCAAAGATCGAACATAAAAAATATCAGCTGCATTCCCTTTGTTGATAATAAGTATACCAATAAACAAATCAAGGAGGCCAATGGTAGTTGCAACACACGGAAGAGATCACGTTCCGCATTGCTTGGGTGCTTGCCATGGGTTGCAATGGCTGCGATCTTCTTCGTCAGGTGCGAGACATGCCCTTTGCTCTCCTGGAGTCGGATAGACTAGTGGGGGCAAGCTGGCAGGCTACTGATATTCACATTCCAATATATTGAAAGTTGAAAAGTTGACAACGCAAGATGCTGCAGAATGTTTACTGTTCATCTCCAATCCTTCACAGCAGCAGCAGCGGCTTGCTGAAGGTCAAAGCAGCTAGATGCCTTAAGTTCAAGTCGACGCCATGTATTGGTTGAACGCTTTAACCATTGAATAAGTCAGCAAAGCTGGAGGTTGATTCATGCAGTCGAGGGGCGCCACGTCCCAGAGTAGAGATCAAATGCTCTGCCAATGGTACATCTGCGTTCGGGGGAGTGGCAACACTACACTTTAAATATGGTGCGGGGGAGTGGCAACTCGGTAGCTACATTTTAAATACAGTTATCAGGGAAGTGGCAAATCGGTAACTACACTTTGGATATGTTTCCCTCAATCATAGTGACAGTGAGGATAGCCCACTTACAAGGTTGCCCCTTTTCCGGTTGTTAGCATCAAGTCGCTGCATGTGCGGTTTCACCGCCACCTAGCCCAGCAGAGCCAACAACCAGATCGATCATGACTCCTTTTCGCAGTAAAGATGTTACACGACCGTGCATTTTTCTTGAGAAAAAACATGATACTTTAACAATGATATGTAAATGCTATTTATTTATCTATATAAAAGATTATATATGGTTGATCCGGTTGGCTTCTCTTGCCAGGGACCCCTCTTTCACGATGAAGTACTGCTTCAAGCACATCGTGTTCACATATATTGTCATGGCTCCAAAACATGTGCGCTCATGACGGCCCAATTCCCAAATCTAGGAAAATCATGGGTCGTTCTTGCTATAAACGATCGGAATCTTTTTTTTTCTTGTGGGTGGGCAATCCTAAGAGCACACAAGAACAGCCCAAAAGTTCACCCCGAGCCACTGACGTTGGCCCTAAGCAGTTCCAGGCGCCGCTTTGGCCTTGGCCTTTGGCTTTGCGGACAAGTTCCTACACGTCTTGGCAGCTTGCTTGTATGAGCTCACAGCAGTCGCAAGGATTGCAGTTGCCCGTCGCAGTTCATCTTCAGTACCAGATCTAGCCACACAGGCCTGTCAGATATAGCGGGGATGAGCCACAAAACAATTGGCGCAACAAGTGGTCCAACATACACGCACACATCAAAAAAAACATTGATGCTTTGTGGCCGCTCACTGCACATGATTCACAAAGACACGCTTTTTCCCTGACCAGTTCATGATTGATGATCATATATATATATACTGTATGTATAAATTTATCTGTATTTTTGTTTATCGACCTATCTATCTTTCTATTGATCTATCTGTCTCTACAATTTTAAAGGCCAAATATATATATATATATATGTGATATTATATATTATGCTGACTGGCTTGATGAATAGATCGCCTCTACACTGTCCCGGGCTTGAGAAATCTCAGAAGCGTGGTGGTTCAAGTCCTTGAGCACGGCCTTCTTCAATTCTTCAGGCCTAGGCGGTGAAAGCGATTATACGAAATTCTCGAATAATGGTAAAAGGCTTGATCAATGCTGTTGCTTGAGGTGCAGGCGTGCCAGCCGAACTCATCTTGGCGTCCCAACCTAGGACTTAAATTAGAGTAATACACCCCGGATGATTATGGTCGGTAATTTGTTAAACTACTTTTACGCATGGATGTGGAACCAAACAGTTATAAATGTGGGTGAAGCTGAGGCACCTTTGCATTCCAAGATCATACTGCTGGCTGCTGACATTGCCTCAGTGTAAATGTAGAACGAAAAATTGTTTATATGCAACATATATACATTGCAAACAAATGTTTTCAAACACATCGCAAGAACCAATTTTTGCACAGATACTGTTTTTGCTTCCTGCTCGGCAGTCTTCAACTTTGGGATTGCACCGGTTTTATTTTCAGTATTGGGTTTGGGGGCTGCCTTGGTCTTGGGTTTGTTTTTTTTCCGGTCATCTCGCTCGTCACCATTGCCGCCGTCCAGAGCACCAGAAGCGGTTGGCAACGCAGATGCGTCTAGCCTCATCTAGGAAGTATATTAAACCATTCGAAACCACCAGGTTGAAAAGACATGTGACGCTGGACAGCCAATCAACTGGGAACATGGCAACATCGGCTTCGCATCTTGAGTGGAAATGCCCCCTTCTGTGGTAACTTCCGTGCTTGTCGCATGAGTATTGTCTCTGATTGTTGCCGTTGCATCCCAGCAATGGTACATCTTTTGCTCTTTGTAGTCAGGGTTGCGTTCCCACATCCCCAACTCTTCTTTGTCCTTGATGATGCTCGCCACCATGTCCTTGTTGCCGCGATACTTCTCCAGGAGATCCTCAGCATAGCAAGACATATAGATGATAATTAATCAAGACGAGTATCAATAATGAGGAAAAAGAGAAATGAGTGAGACAAAGACCGCCAAGTAAAGAGTAGTGCAGTTGGGACACCTCCTCTGACATTAATTTGTACACTCCCCTCTTTTTTTCGGACTGTGTGGTCCGAGAGTTGATCACCATGGTGGAAGCGTTCCAATCTTCATTCGCCTGAACGAACTCCTCAAATAGTTGAGCTCTCACCGCCTTGGCCTCCTTGGACTGGGCACCTGACAGTGATGGCATTGTGGGTATCTAGGTAACACCTTCAACCCCGCGACCTGATTATCCTTTTTGTCTTTTGGATCGGGGCAAGTTGCCATGTTGAGCTGTGATCTTTTGGAGCTCGGCGAACTTGGCCTTGACTTCTGGGTGGGTAGCACCTCAAAAAAGAGACTCGACTAGCTAAGAAATTTATCAACTTAGATGTGTGATGGGCGTTCATACTTTTGCCTACATGCGGATGAGATACTCCTTAGAGACCTGTCCAACCGTGCCTTCGCTGCGCGGATTTGTTTCTTCTGTTCCTGCACAGATTCAAGACATAACCAAGACATAACTCATATTATATCCAAAATTATATATATATATTATATACATAATCTTATGTTTGCAATGTTTTGCCACATGTATTATATATATATAGACATAATCCAGGATCAACAAAATCTACGCTGTTTAATTGAGGGGTACCAATAAAGTATCCTATTACCACCCTCCCACCGCCATCATTACTAGACTGTGACTATGGTATTTATCCGGGGTTGACAATATATGTATGTGTGTGCATGTGTATATGTATGTGTATATGTAAATGTATATGTATATGTATATGTATGTGTATGTTTATGTGTATGTGTATGTATATGTATGCATGTTTGGATGTATGCATGTATGTATGCATGCATGCATGCAGGTATGTATGTATGTATGTATGTATGTGTGTATGCACGTATGCACGTATGCACATATGCATGTATGCGTGTATGCATGCATGCATGCATTTACTTAACTGCAACAACATCAAGCATGTCCCAGGTGAAGCAAACGCCTCTGCATCGGTGTCACCCCCTTCTTCTTTGACCCTCATCCCTCCGGGCGGTGTCTCTGATGGTGGGGGAGAAAGTTGCTGGGAAGGTGGCAGGGCAGGAGGTTCAGAAGGCATGCTTGAGCTTGGGGCAGCACCGGCAGGAGAATCAGGACTGGCAGAATGAGGTGGGGCGAAACTCTGCAACACACCGGTGGGATCAGGAGGCAGTCCCAAGGCTTGACGGTTCTCCTTTTGAGCATGGTTTTCAGCCGGAGCACACACACCGCTTTTAGCATCACTCAGCAAAACAAATCCAGCAGCACGGCACTGTGCAGCTGACAAGGTTACCTCTACAGGTTCCAGTTTGTCACCCACCTTCACCAAGACAATGCTAGACTGCGGCGTCGACAACATCACTGCACTAGTTGCAAAAGCGCCAGGCTTTTGTCCATTTTCCAAATCTACAGTGGTCAATCGTTTCAAGGCTTCTTCCGTTGGACTGTCGGACTTTGCAAGTGATACTTCAGCTGCTGGTTTCTTGCTGGTCTCTGCAGGTGGATGGGCAGGTAGAGAGGCAACTGGTGTGGTGGGGGGAGCTACTAAGGGTGGTGCTGCAACTGCCTCAGTAGGTCTCTCAGTAATTGTTGGCACAGGCGTTTCTGGCTCAACGCTGGTTGCACCAGCCTCAGCAACAGTTCTTGCAAACGCCTCAGTAGTCGTGGGCACAGGAGTTTCTGGCTCAACGCTGGTTGCATCAGTCTCAGCAACAGTCGTTGCAACCACCTCAGTAGCCATTGGCACAGGAATTTCTGGCTCAGGGGCAACAATTGTTGCAACCACCTCAGTAGTTGGCGCAGGAATTTCTGGTTCAGTTGCTGGTGCAACACTGCTGGGAATGGCGGGTGATGCCTCTTCAACACTGCTGGGAATGGCGGGTGCTGCCGCTTCAACCCCAACTGGGCTTGCTGGGTCGGGCAAGCTCTGAGTCTTCACCTTCTTAAACTTGGCCCAAAAATTCTTACGGGCGTTGATGGTCTCTTCGGAAACGCTGGATCCATCAAGATCTTCACCACGGCTTGACGCCTGACGAAGTCAACTTGTTTGAAAAGCACATATTTCTAAAACATGTACATGTGCATGTGTGTGTGATTAATGCTTATTTGGCATCTTCTAGTGGTGCCCCAACTGGTGGTGTCTTAAAAACAACTATGCTTGTACACTCACACCGAATGTGCACCTGGAAAGTGGGCATCAATGGCACTGCTGGCATTGACGTCGCAAGTGCAGGAATATTGTTCTCGAAAGCTGCCTCATTTATTTCAGCATTCAAAATACCTGTGTCTAATGAATTATCATATGTTTTGATACCTGAGATGATGGAGGTATAGGCAGGACAACTTGTAATTAAGCCTAGGCGCTGCCATCCCTGCAATTTCTTCTTCTGATGCAGGAATCGTACTCATGGTACTTGCACGACGGGTAATCATGTCAGGTTCCGTGGGTGTCTCAAGTAAGGTCGGTGACATAGGTTGCGGGTCATCCGGGATCTCTACAGGTGATTCATGGGTAGTGTCTGATGCGGGAATACCAGTCACAACCGCAGCTGGCACTTCACCACCAGAAGCTGTGCCTTAGCACGGCAGCGGTATAATGACTAGGGAAAAAGTGGAATTCTATTTATTTATATTTATACATATATATTGAATCAACAAACGCCCGGAATAATGAAGTGTTTCGTTCTTATTTTTTCCACAGACACACCCCAACCGCTATTATAAACGTATATATCCATGTAATCTTTTGCCAGGAAAATGCCGAGGACATTTTTCTTGGGTATCCATTGATGTTTTGAAAATAGGTTGAGCTATCAGAACTGAGGATGCCGAGATGCCACCCCCAAAAAGGACCCGAGGTTCTGGATCAGTTCGAATTGCTTTGGGATCAGGGGTAACCTTCTCACCAGATGATGACGCAGTAGTACTTGCAGAAGCTAACCCCTCTGATCTCTTTTGGAGTTCCCGCTTTTTTGGGCGGGGGGGTGGAGTAGATTCCACAGAAAGCAAAGTCTTCCGCCTTTCAGCTGCAGCCAAGGCATCCGCCATCACCTGCACGGGATACTTGGAAATGTTCAATGATGGTGATTTTTGGAGAACAAAAAATTATCAAATGGAACAAATAGGGGTAAAAGTCAACCACCACGTTTCGTACATATATAACCAGTCAAAGCCCGCCTTGGCAGGATCTACAGATGCTGCTTTTTTGCTCATGGCCAATGGTTGGCACTGGCTCGAGAGTATATGGACTTATCCAAATTCAGAGAAATAGAGCATATTCTCGGATCACAACATTCTTTCTACCAATTATAGTGCAGCCGTCACGGGCTGTCACGGGCTGTCACGGGCGGTTTCCAGAGATATAACTAAATGTTATCATATTTCAATGACATTCGAAACATTTCGAACCAATGTAGCTGAAATTTGGCTACATTCGAAAATCTCCGGAAACCACCTGTCACGGGCTGTCACGGGCTGTCACGGGCTGTCACGCGGTCATTTTTTTCCAGCCCAGCTGTAGCTGCATGCGTTCTTGCAATACATGTAAGCTTGTGCAGGAATTAGGGGTATTAACACGTGCGCACACTCCCCCAAAGATTTTTGACAGCGAACTTGGTCTTTAAATCCCCATGTTACAGTTGTCCTGTTTGGGTCCTGGGGAGATCCACACAATGTCAACATCACAACTATCACGAATTGCTTGGGCTTGGCTCCACCTCACTTGATCCATGTCGGTCTAAAGAGGCAAATTAAGTGTGGGGACAAATCGCCCCTCATCAATCTCCTTTTGGAGAAAGGCACGGATAGGGCCCAACTGGGCATAGGACCAATCAAAGGGAGCAGCCTGCCAACTGGGACGTGAGTGCAGCGACAAGCCATGTTTAATCAATCCAGATATATACACTAGTTATGTACCAAGATGATGGGACATATTTCAATATATGGGGAATATACCACAAAATGATCACTAATTCTATACCTGAAAAGCTATGGCAGTTTTTGGGAGCTATATATATATATATGATTTGATAAAGCACACCAACCCATTCAATTTCCACCCGGTGCTTGGCACCGCCAAGGAACTGCTGGGTGCACTGCGTCCAATCTCGCGGGAAGGTCAAGGATGGGATGGTCTGTGGTATCCTGGAACAGTCACGTCAGGGTAACTGACTTTCTTTCCAAACATAATTTGTTTTCTCAACCCTGTGATATTGGAAGTCTACACATACAGAAAAAAGGAAACCAGTGCAATGAGTTGTTGAGAGCCCGGCCGCCATTTAGAAAGATAGCCCTGGCTAGAGAAAGAAGACTTTACCATAAGATGACTTCACCCTAACTATATGTATATATATATATTTAACTATATAATATGATGATATCTTCGAAAACAAAAATCAGCCCCACCGGATATACATAAATATATATTATTTACATATATATATATATATATTATTTACAGATATATATATATATATATATATATCAGCATATATCAGCAATTTCCCTTATTACAGGCCTCCTCTGCAAACTTCGAGCAAATGAAGTTTGCAAACTCATCAGTATACTCCGCAGATTCCCGCAAGGATTGGCCACCAGACCTGGGACCGACGGAGGCAGCACTGGGCGCTGTACGGCTTGTTGAATAATCACTATAATTATAAATATATATAAATATATAAATATAAATTAAATATATATTATACATGGTTTCAACTTCCTGTTGCCATATACTTGAACCAAAGTGCACTCGAACTCTTCCAGATGAATCCCTCTTTTTGTTCACCATGACGAATCCTGATTGTTCTGCAGATTCTTTGAGTTCCTTCCTCTTTGCCTCGGGCATGTAGTCCTCCAAAGACGTAATCCAACGCCTCAATTCAGACCACAACCCCGAAAATGTAAAGTCAGGGGACTACTACTGATATCAAACTGAGCTTCCCACAAGCTTCCCAGCAAATAGCTGGGTTTTGGGTGATCGATGTGCGTAGCACCCCATCCAACTTAGTATCATGATTACTAGTAGTGCGGCGTCATCAGATAATCAGTTGCTTTTGCACACTTGCAATCATGTGATTTTCGGGATTCCAGGTAAATAATTTATCCAAGTAACAACCTGTGAAATCTGGTGTGAGGCTTGACGTAGATGGAATCTATGATGAGCCGTAGCCATGGCATATCTATCAGGCGTGAGCTACTAGGCTGCTCAACCTCAATTCGAAGACTCCCCAAAACAAGAGCATGTCTACGACCAGAGACTCTAAACTGTTCTCGTTGTTGAACGTGTAAAAACTGCACATTTTTTGCTGTCCAGATTCGCACCATTGAACTCCACGGCTTATGCATAATATAAGAAGTAAACAATATCTGGCTGAGCAAATGTTGCCAAAGTCGGCCAGTCCTGCAGCTTCTGGGTTGTGATTCCTATATTACCACTATCCATTTTCAAAAACAAAATGCACAGGCATAATATACTGGGGAGCCTCCGGCGCCAAGGATAGCAAGATGTCGATAGTGGGTACCCGTGGATATCCATACGAACCTCAATTCCGAGTCATTCATTCTAGCTTGTCAGGATTTGACATATAGGCAAAACACACATCTATATATTATATGTAGAATTATAATGATTGGATTATGATTTCAACTGTTCATTCAAAGTCACGGGTGGCAAGGATGTCCAGCAAAAAAGAGACCACGGCCACGTTTAAGACGTAAAGTCTCCCGCACTGCCAACAACCAGCCTTCCACACTTAGCAGGTCATTTTGGGTGCCGCGACCCAGCTCTGCCAAGATGTCCATCCATTGCCTCAGCTCAGCGAGGCGAGGGAGCTGGGGGAATGCAAGCCTACCTGTCAAACCCCGTTTGCTTTTCTTTTTTGACAAATGTCCTGGGTAAACCCTTGTGTGTCCCCCCAAAAAATCAATCAGGAAAATGTGTTGAACAGGGGAACAGGCTCACCCAATGTCATACGTATACATTTATATATGTATATATATATATTATATATAGCTATAGAGAGAGAGGTATATATATATAATCTTGTCCACAGGGAAAAATAAGAGCCTGTATCTTGATAACTCATGGACCCTGAGACTCCAACGCTTTGTACCCACGGGATCCTCAGCTTGACTCAAGAACTTGTCATGACCAAGAACACATGATGAAGGTGTATATAAAAGTACACGTGCATGTGTTTTGCATCACCTGAAACATTGAAGAATTTGTCATCATGTTAAATTTCTTTATTTTCATCAAGGATGCGTCCATTCACTAGGCTCCCAGACGAAATTCCGCAGTTAAACGGGACTTCCCGCTAAACATTTCAAGTAGATTCAAATCCTCATGGTCGCACTGGTGGGGGATAGCACTCCCGGTGGGGTATTGCACTTGTTATATATACAGTGGACATCTATTTAGATACTTATCTAGCGAGGGATTTTTTCGATGCCTCATTGTGATGTTGAGCTCTAATTATTAATGATGAGTTATCCATCTAGACAGTGAAAATACTCCTCTTCGGATGGGAATTGTTTGAAGCACTTTTGTGATACTGAGTTCCCCTGCTCGCTCCCACTTGATCCCGGATGCTCCATCATCACGCTCTGCCATTTGACTAATGTAGTCAGCACAATGGATCCTGAGCCAACGTGCGGAGCACTATATACCATACGAGAACAAAAGTTTCGACTTCTCTCTCTCTCTCTCTGTGTCTCTCTTACAATGTATATATATGTATATTATGAAAACATCGATGCACATGCACAGGCGCATGCTAATAATTGATGAGTTTCAATGTGCTCGGTCCACCAAGCATGATAATGATGGCTGCACTCCGGGCTGACAGCCACATGCTTGAAGCCCGCTGCTGCCCCCTCATGGCCAAGCTTATGCTTTCCAGCACTATCGCCAGAAATGAGCCCAAACACTGAAAATTACATGTGATGAGCGACGTTGCTTATATATACCCACTGCTTTTTACTTTAGTCCAGGTGTTCTTTTCAGATTGACCACTTGAGACTGTTTCTTTAAAGATTGCACGATGCAACCAGCCTTTCCCACGCTTGTCATCAATCATGTCCCCAGCTTTCAAGCTCTAAACCTATGCGCATCAGGTCCCCCCCCTGCCGAAACCGTTCTCAGACTGGCAGCAACAACCTGATGTGTTTAAAAGAAACATTGCAGCAGGAAACCTGAGCAACCACTCTTGGCAGCTTAGCTGCGAACCCCAGGGTCAAGCCTAGAATTTCATCATAGGCGCGAACTTGTCATACTTGGAAAATCCTACTTGCCACCATTCGCTGGCAAGGCATCCACCCACCCAGCAATAAAAGTTGCGAGCTCAAACGCGTTCTTCCAGCCCCCTCTTTTGAGTACTGACACTGTACATCCTCCGTATGAATCAATGTTGACACCGGTGACCGGGTTCTTGGCCCATTTCACGTACAGGTTCTTGTTGCACCACCTAAGCTAAATAGCAACATGACTAAGCCACACAACTGCGAAGTATCAAGATTCAAATATGTTGTGTCTGGTTTGATATGCATCTTTCAAACACAATGAAGAGCTGAGCCAAACACAAAACTCCAATTTGTGACATTGAGGTGGGATCGCGAGGCGGTAAGGTGTACGATTTCTGCGCGCCCTTGAACCCCTCTGGGATGGGAACGCCACCCTTTTTCAGCTCATCCTCCTCACAAAAAGGAACGAACCATTTTGAAATATATATAGAAATATGATTGGGAATTGGGCACTTGTTTTTGAACCATGGTAACCCACATGTACCACTTTCAGTCCTGCACTGCCCACGCTGTCTGAAGTTCATCGCCAGTAAGTTTGGGTCTGGGTCTGGCGGCTCGGGTTTTCTTAGGTTTGCCATCAGATGCAAGTGGTGGAGTTGCTTCCTCACCCTTTGCTGCCCCAACATCTGCTTTTTCAACCTGCTGCTTCCCAGGCTGTGCTGCTGTTGAGCAGGCTTCTTGTGCGTCCTGTGGTGCATCTACTGCTTCTTGTTCTGCATCATCGGGCTTCGGTTTTTTCATTGCTGGGTTGAATGCTTCTGAGCTGCACTCTGCATCTTTGCGTTTCTTGTCGGTGTTTGTATCTGCTGCGGTACTGTCATATTCAGTGTTGCCTTTTCCTGCACCTTTCCCACGACCTTTACCTCGACCTCGTCCCTTGCCTTTCCTTGCTGTGTGTTTGGGTTCTTTTCCATCATCCGTCAACCCTTTTGTAGCATCCCGGGCTGCTTGACGAACCTGGCGTGCAGGAAAAAACGCAACCTATATAGTAGATATGTACATGTTTGGACCGATTTCATGAAAGGCTATATTGATCCCTTTGCTTTTTTGTTATTGTGTATATGGACCTTTGCTACAAAGATAAGCCAGGATTATGGGTGCTTATCACGGTATCAAGATGCATTCAAAACAGCGATGGCTCTACACTAGCCTTCGCTTGGGCTTGCAGAGCATCAACGTCCCCAGCTTCACCAGACATCATGGAAGCCACCTGTGCCTCACAGCAGAAAGAGGGAACACACACACATATATATAGACAGATCGATCGAGTATGTTGTTGTGAAAAGGTTTTCTGATCACAAGAAAGTCGCTAGTCTCTACTTCAATCATAATCACTAATTAATCAAACGAGCTACCAGTACCTTGACATACACTGGACGCCTGAATTTGGAAATCCGCAGGCCTCCAAAGACTCTCCAAGCTTGGGAACCCCAGGGAGAAGTGGCTGGCGATCCTGGGAAAGGACATTTTAAAAATGTACCACATCCATCCAAGTGAACAAGAGCTGAACATATACATATATATATATATATAAAGACATATTTCATGAGCTGGTCCTTCATTGCTTGACGACGGGTAGGCTCATCATCATCATGAACTTCTTCGAGTTGTGGGGCTTTTTGAAGAACCCAATCTGGAGGATGGGAATCCTGCACACATGAAAGATAGCAATTACAGTACATAGCGAACTCTTTAAGGATAGCATGCGTTGTTTTTACCACTCCTGGGTCAAGTACCACGCACGCAGTTCCTCATCCAACGCTTCCTCCATGGGGACGGTCTCCATGTTGTCAGGATTCTTCGGATCAGCCTGGACTTTTCACTCACTAGCTGATCCACAGTACTATCTAGTGCTACAACGACTTTAAGTGCTTGCTTATTCCCCGCCTCTTTGGTTATGGTGACCTTTTTCACGGACACAGTGTCATCCTTAAACCAGGTGAAATAACTTAAAATGTCCCGTATCTTGGGCGCGGCTTCACGCTGAGGCATCAACGTCCACCACTTCGCATTCTTGATCGTGAGCGTCTTGCCCTGAACTTGATCCGATTTCCACCTGGGCACCGGTATACGTGCACGAAAAACAATTCAAAGAAACAAAGGCTATTAAATAAATTATATATATATATATGAGAAAATCGAAGTATGTGAAAACAGAAAAAAGTTCCATGAGATAGATTTACGGATCCGGAGGGATGGAAGGATGAATGGACGGATGGATGGATGGATGGATACATAGATAGAGACATACACAGATAGATAGATATGATAGATATTAGATAGATAGGTAGATAGATAGGTAGATAGATAGAAAGATAGAGACAGAGACAGATAAACGGATAAACAGATAACCAGATAGGCAGATAGACAGATGGACGGACAGACAGATAGACAGACAAACAGACAGATAAACATACATAGATAGATAGACAGATAGACAGACAGATAGATAGATAGATAAATAGATAGATAGATAGGTAGGCAGATAGATAGGTAGATAGACAGATAGACAGATAGAAAGATAGATAGATAGATAGATAGACAAACAGATAGACAGATAGATAGCTGGATAGATAGATAGATAGATAGACAGACAGACAGATAGATAGATAGACAGATAGACAGGCAGGCCGATAGACAGATAGTTAGATAGATATCTAGATAGTTTGTTTTTTTAGGTAGACCAATTTTGCCATCTAAATGGTCAACTACGCTAACATTCCATGGCCACAAGGCCCTCCGTGATTAATGGACCTCATCATCACCAGGCTTTGCATAGCTGTTCTCTTGGATGGCTGTCTCATAGTTGCCACCGTGCTTATCTGACCGGTAGGCAATCAATCAGAATGACTGTCAAACAAAAAAAAGAAACACATATATAAGGCTTTGCAATGGCAGAACTTTGTGGGCTGGCCTTGGGCCACTTTGCGAATGAGATCCTTCAGCATCTGGATGCGTTGGGTCCTGTAGCGGATCAGATTAGATTCATGACCAAATTTCTGTTATGGACTGTGCTTCCTTTTTTTTTGGGTTCTTATCAAGATTCAAATTGCTAGTTTGTACGCCCCCCTCAGCTGCAATCCTTGCTCCCCCAGCTCTGTTGAAGAGGCCATAGCAGTGGACACACAGAGAACGCGCCACACCACCCTGCTGCTTGGCCCAGTCCTGGCGAGCGTCGTGAGGTATGGTTCAATTAAAGTAGGGAAAAAGGGTCTGTTGCACTCAGTCCTTCTGCACCTTCTTTCGGGTTTGTGATGGGAAAATGGCATAGGTTCGGCAAATGAGGTAGAATATGTCCTGTGCAAGATCCACACATTCAAGCTCCACTGTCATTTTGGACTTGTTGGAAGTCAAAGTCGCAAACAAAGAATTTAAAGCTTCCGGTGCTCTTCTGAGTTTTGAAGCTGTGTGCATATGGGTATCTCTCAGTTGTGCTTGGGACAAAATCCTTTTTAGGGGCATTGAGACATACCCAGGAGTGAACATAGAACATACGTGTACGTCAACCGGCCTCAAACAAGCTTGCGTTTGGCACACCATCTCCAGCAAATGTGCTGAAATAATGCATGAGGAAAATCCAATTTGCATCCAGCTGCCACAAAGTGAATCGAACCAACACTAGTCATGATCAAGAGAACTATTTTGTTGAATTTTGTTGAATGGGCGAAGGAAAAGCTTGGGGGCCCACTGCATCGGCAGACGCCGCCCCCTCATCACCAATCTCGAAGACTGCTTTCTCCTGCGGGTTGTTTGTGTTACAGCCGGGAAAATTAAACAAACGCACTGCGGGATGTCAAACACAATATTCAATGTGTGCTTACAAGTTAAGGTCGTTTATATATTGCGTTGGGGACGTGGTTTTGACATGTGTTGTTTTTGCACTTTCATTTTCTTTCATGTTTGGCACTGATCAAAAAACCCGGCATTGTATGTCTTACCCTGGGCTGTCCTCATGATCTCGGATGGCTGGGATGGTGTCAGGGTCAGATAACAGAAAGGTCTTAAGTACATCATCCAACAACTTGTACGTAGCTCCAGAACGAAGAAGATCAACCTTGCTAGGCTTCTTTTCGAGGTCCTGCAAACGTTTGTGGTGGCAATGGTTGGGGTGTGGAATGATTGGGGAAACCCATGCGTTGTGACACTTGCAACATGTTTTTGATTTCTCCTCTCTGGGCCCTTCATCTTTTGCAGCCATTGCTCAGGTTTGCGGACCCGGGCACCCCAAGCTGTGAGTGCAACTGATTGCCGGGACCATGGGTGCCCATTGACTGGGAGTAAAACATGAAACATTTGCATCTAGATCTTAAACTCAGGCCTTCATTAATTATATTTATATAGATATAAATATATTTGTGTATACAAACCAAAAATGTCTATAAAGGAACCTCCATACAACATCGAAGCGACACAACAACTCTAGGACTTGAGTTCGGCAGGGCAAGGGCGCACCATCCAGTGATCTTCCCTTGTCATAGTCCTTGGGTGGTTTCACCCTGAAGCGACCTTGGCCAGATCATGATTTCGACATCTGTTCGTAATTAGTATAACAAACTTCAAACGATGGCGCGATGATCCATGAGGGCCATACTTTTCACGGCACTTCTGCGCATCAATCAGCATGGCATATAGCGCCGGAGTGATGATGTTGTATGATCAAACAAAAACCAAGGTTCTTCTCTTACAGGAAGTGTTTCCACAACGTCATTTATGTGATTGATAGCAAATTCTTGAATACAATGCGATCAGTTGCATGATTTGTTTCAAAAAAGTGTATGCCTATTTTTAGTAGTTGATTGTCATGCTTGTTTTCTTGAAAAATCCTGTCATTCTGTGGGATCATTTAATGTTGAAACACATCGCCATGTCTTCATGGCCGAATGAACCTTGGGCCTGTCATTTCTGGCCTCGGTCGAAAACCATCGAAAGCCTGGCTTCGACAACGTTGGCAAAAATCAGCAACATTGGCCACGTACCTGGAATTTGCCTACATAGGCACGTGGGTGAATATTCCATACATGGATCCTCAGGGATAGGACCTCTCATATAGAGGTTTCTGCATAAACCTATTTCAGGTCTTCGCCCATATATACATGCCCACATTCTATCTGACATATCCGTGCATTCTATCTGATATAATTTCTGACTCTCTTTCTCTCTTGCAGCATCTGACATGGTATTGGGCATTCTGTTTGATATTCTAGGTGATATCCGTTCTAACGTATTTGTTTGATAAAAATGCATTATAATATATATATACACGTCTATTATATTGGCTTCTATTTGGCATGGGCTCGCATATTTTATCCGGAGTTGATTAGGCATTCTATATAAACGACATACTGTCTCACCTTTGATTTAACATTTTCATATTATATAATCTTGCATTTTGTTATCCGTTTATTTCATTTTATTAATGTTATTCCTAAAATAAATCAGGCATTCGTCTATCTGACATAATTCTGCCATGCTATCTGGCATTCTATCTGACATTGACATTCTACTTGACATATGGTCTGATATTTCTCTGGCAGTCTGTCTGTCATTTTATCCGCATCACTTTCGGGTCCTGCAAGCCACAGAGATCTGAGGAAGCTCGCGAGGCGGAAGGAACCAAGGAGGGAATGAGGGAGAGACGCGGGATGCTGTTAAAATATGTTAAAATCTAACCTAACCCTCACCTCGGGGAAACACACAAACACTAAGATCACTAAGTTCCACCCATATTTTCCAAACAGTATACAGAAAGCATTCAAGGCTAGCGTGGTTTGAAGCTTCATATCATGGAGTGCAGTGTTCATCTCCACAAACGCAAAATGTTGGCCACTTTTGTGGGTCTGAATATCGCTTGGTGTGGCAGGCGCAGGATGCCGGACACATTTTGTTTGCGTTGCGGCCACTGTACTTTAAGTGTGCACCTTGCTCAAAAATCTAAAACGTTGGCAGTGGTGCGTGACATGAAAGGTGCCACCAACAAGTACCAACAGTAATTTTTCATGGCAGGCCTGGGCGGTTCTGTAGAAGCATAGAATTCCTTTGGAAGGTCCTTGCGCAGAGATCATACAACAGTTCCTAGAAGTTCTTGCACAATGGTGATGTGAATTCGTTCAGGGCCCTTTTTCCGAGATCCTTGCGCAAGGTTCCTCGCACAGAGATCCTGCGAGTTGTTTGACAGGGCCCCTTGCACAGAAATTTGGTGCGTTCCTTGCAAGGATCCTTTCTGCGGAGATCGTGCGAAGTCCTTACTTGGATCATTGTGCAGAAATCCTGTGAATTGCTCCAAAGGTTACTTCTACGGAGATTCCTGACAGAGATCCTGTGAGTTCCTTTCAAACATCTTGGAGAACCGAAGAAGCTACTTCCTCCCTGCAAGATGTTTTTCAGAGCCAATCCATTCCCAGCATTGTTTTTTTATATCACCCCTAAGTAGCTGGTAAGGAAGAAGGATTGCCTCAATTAACTCAACGGCTGAAAAAATACAAAGAACAACGACTTTACTGGCTGCCCAGCTGTTCTAGGACATTCCTTTCGGTTGAAAAGTGAATGATTGAAACATGCTCGAGCTGTCTGAAGCACGTGCCGAAGAGCAAGAACGACCAAGCCAACGTCCTCATGCAAGTGGACATCATCATTACCTGCAGCAAGTGGTGAGAGTCAGATTTGCCTTGTGGGCAGGGGGTATCACTGCAGGACTTTAGGGTCTCTATCGGTATCATGTTCTGGCAGGTGACTCTTGTCATCATGTCCTTTTTGCCCAAGAAACCAGCTTGTGAAGCTCGCGGAAAGCCCTGATCCGCCGTAAGAGTCGGATGAGGCGAAAAATGCGCACCTTGACCGGAGAATCTGGCGGAAGAAGAAACTAACAAAAGGGGGAAGGTCCGGGCAAATTTTGTGGTAAATTTGGTTAATAAAACCAGAACAGGGTTTCTGTCTGAAGAAATGTATGGTGGAGGGATGCGTTGTCGTGGCCTTATCAGAAAAACTGGGAAGGAACCAACACAAATAAAAGAACAATGGAAAAAATGTGGTGGTGCCATTCGAGAATGTCTCCGCCCTGGGTATTGGAAATGAAACGTATTCAAAGCAATCTAATCAACATTGGCTGAAATTGGGGCTGCACAAATCACTGACTGCATGTCTCACTGGTTCTCATGGCAGGGTGTCTGATATTGAAAATTCATTCCATTGCCTGGGGTCATAATTTGGCACCCCAAATGTGTGCCAAACTGTCGAAATATGATAGAAACAAAGCAGAACAAATGTGTCATACCATGGCCCTCAAATGCCCTCAAGCCGAGGCACTAAACGAAGTGCCCTGACGATGCCGAGTCGAAAGATGGAGTCACCAGCTCCGAGAACGTCAATAGCGGCCTGGACGATGGGATTAGGATCTGTTTAAAAAGTACCAGCATGCAAACAAAGATTAAACATGATTAAATGAAGGTCTCAGGCAAACAATGTGCCTTTTGGAAATTCACGTGGAAGATCATGGATTTTTTGATTCTCATTCCAACCATATGTTCCATAGGCAAACCTTTCAGCAATGGCCAACGTTCAAGTTATCCAAAGGGTACACCCTGCTGAAGAATTGATCTTCATAAACACACTCCACTGAAAAAAAAAATACATGGGCGAGTTCAACCGGCCAAGAAATCAACATGTTCATGTCGCGCCCAACCTTTCCAACCTTTCCTTATCAAATTCCACCCAAACTGGTCCCACCAAACTGCCCAACCCCCTGGACTCCACCCTGCATGGAATTTCGAATGGGGATAGCGAGACCGGGCCTCAGCCCAGCCACATGCCACAATGCTGATATCCATCACAGTCATCCAATCCCGCAGAATCTTCCTGCCAAACAAGCCTGGGCGAAAAACGAGAAGACAGGACCATCCTCCAAGAAACACATGTATATCTATCTATCTATCTACCTATCTATCTATCTATCTATCCATCTATCCATCTATCCATCTATCCATCTATCCATCTATCCATCTATCCATCTATCGATCTATCGATCTATCGATCTATCGATCTATCGATCTATCGATCTATCGATCTATCGATCTATCGATCTATCGATCTATCTATCTATCTATCTGTCTATCTATCTATCTATCTATCTATCTTATCTATCTTATCTATCTTATCGATCGGTCTATCGATCTATCATGATCTATCGATCTATCGATCTATCTATCCATCTATCCATCTATCTATCTATCCATCCATCTATCTATCTAATCTATCTAATCTATCTAATGTATCTAATCTATCTAATCTATCTGACCTAATCGAATCTAACCTACTCTAATCTATCTAATCTATCTGACCTAATCTAATCTAATCTAATCTCATCTCATCTAATCTATCTATCTATCTATCCATCTATCTATCTATCTATCTATTCTTATCTATCTACTCTTATCTATCTATTCTTGTCTATCTATTCTTATCTATCTATTCTTATCTATCTATTCTTATTTATCTATTCTTATCTATCTAGTCTTTTCTATCTATTCTTATCTATCTATTCTTATCTATGTATTCTTATCTATCTATTCTTATCTATCTATTCTTATCAATCTATTCTTACCTATCTATTCTTACCTATCTATTCTTATCAATCTATTCTTATCAATCTATTCTTATCAATCTATTCTCATCTATCTATTCTTATCAATCTATTCTTATCTATCCATTCTTATTTATCTATCGATCTATCTATTCTTATCTATCGATTCTTATCTATTGATTCTTATCTATCTATTCTTATCTATCGATTCTTACCTATCTATTCCTATCTATCTAATCTAATCTATCTATCTATCTACCAGCCTCTCTATCTAATCTATCTATCTATCTACCTATCTATCTACCTATCTATCTATCTATCTATATCTATCTATCTATCTCTATCTATCTATCTAATCTAATCTAATCTATCTAATCTAATCTAATCTAATCTACCTAATCTAATCTAATCTAATCTATCTATCTACCTATCTATCTATCCATCTTTCTATCTACCTATCTATCTATCTATCTATCTATCTATCTAATTATCTATCTATCTATCTATCTGTCTATCTATCTATCTATCTATCTATCTGTCTATCTATCTATCTAATCTATCTATCTATCTATCTGTCTGTCTGTCTGTCTGTCTATCTATCTATCTAATCTATCTAATCTATCTAATCTATCTAATCTAACAAATCTATCTAATCTATCTAATCTAATCTATCTAATCTATCTAATCTATCTAATCTATCTAAACTGTCTAATCTATCTAATATATCTAATCTATCTAGTCTATCCAATCTATCTATCTATCTATCTAATCTAATCTAACCTAATCTAATCTAATCTAGTCTAATCTAATCTAATTATCTATCTATATATCTATCTACCTATCTATCTATCTATCTATCTACCTAATCTGTCTATCTATCTATCTATCTAACCTAATCTAATCTAATCTAATCTATCTATCTAATCTAGAGTCTAGAGTTGCTGGAGAATTATGTCGACATTAGGTCCGTTGGTATATAGTATGTATATAGTTGGCCATTTGGCCATGGGATGATCTGGGATATTCGGGGATTGCTACTGTGTGCCACGAAGCAATATAAGAATCTCAGTCACTTGTTTCGGTGACTGTGCTGCATCATGGCTGCTTCGAGTCATAAATATCCTGGATATCTATGCTACAACTCAAATGTCTTGTTTGTTGATGGCAGCAAGCCAACCAACATGGAGGAAAGCATACCAGCCAGCTGGATATATTATTGACCTGAATCATTCCGCCATGGCCGAGCAGAGCCGAGAAACACAACTGAGTCACCGCTTCAAGAGTGTACACCCCCAAGCAGACATCAGTAATGCTCTTGACAACCCAAGATGGAGTATGTTCTGCGGCCCTGGCATCAATATCTGCACCTTAGCCACAGCAAGGGGCCCCAGCTGAGTAGCTGCGAGTTTTCAACGAATGCAGCATAATGCAGCGATGAAACCTGAAAATTCGTTTGGATCTTCCAAGAAGCCATGTCTGTTCCAATGTTGCACTTTTTTTGCTCTTTTCCAATCTTTGACATGCGACGTTAGATCCTTGAAGGCCCAAACATATATATAACGATGAAAGGAACTTTCCGGAAGTTCCAGGTTTTCAGGTTCCATCTGACTCCAGGTTTTGACCTCGGCACATGTGCAGAAGGCGTCCAAAATGACGATTCCGGCCATAGCATTGGCCAAATAGTAACTTTGCCTTAGAGAATTCGAACCCATCGGAGCCAATCGATTGGATGTCTAGACCGGAAGTTCGGAGATGTGACAATGTGGGCGGGGTTATCCATGATTGTCCTTCCTGGGGGTTATCATGGTTGTCCTATTTGGAAGTGGGGCAATACTGGCAATAATCATATCCGATATGCAACTGCCTTGCCCTGATGATTTGTCCAGACACGATGTTCGGCGAAAAAAATCTAGCAACAAGCATCAAGATAAAGATAAAAGTCAGAAAAAAAAAACGCAAAAACTTCAACATTGTACAATTGATAGACATCTCAACAATTTAGAATATATCCAGTGGAACAAGAATGATTCCCAAGGAGACAGCGAAATATTTAAAGCACCTGCTGATTGTCCCAAGGTCAAACCCAATCAAAAGTTTTAGCCTGCAGGTACATGTTTGATAGATACATAAGCACGAAGCGAGAAAGTGAGACGAGTCAGTTTTTTTCTATCATGTCTAGCACTTGACGAACCGCAAGGCTTCAAACTCACACACCTATAGCATGCGCGGCACAATCAATTACTTCAACAAAATGGAAAAATAGTGGGCAGCAGGAGTCAAGGCTATAGCTAAATTGGCCGTTGAAAATCGAAATCGCTTGTAGCCAAGCGGATCCAAGTGGCATGTATGACTTCAAGTGTTCCTTCCATTTCGCTTCTCTTTGAAGCTGCACAGTGGTGGTGGAGTGGACGAAACTTGCCCCAACCTTCAGATCGCGTCGCCGGCCCTCCGTTGAGTCAGGGCTGGTCTGGCGTTGCATGTTGGTGATGGACAACATATGGGGCGAGCCGAGACTGCAACTTGCGCATACACATGATGATCTGTATGCATGGGAACCATCTGGCTTGGGGTGTGTGGTGATCCCTGCTGAACTGTATGAATAAATATATATAAATATACATATATATATATATATATATAATATTGTTATATATATATATATACATAGATACATACACACACACATATATATATATGTTATGTATAAATATAGATATATAGATGTAGCATTGACACTGCATTTGCAGTCTCAAGCGGAGCAAGATTAAAGACCCTGCGGCCCTGCAACCAAATAAATGACTGGAAGTGACGTTTAGGATTTTCACCACAGCTATCACACCGTAATTGATGACAACCAAAAAGCATATATACAGGCCTTACCACGCCAACAGCGGCTAAAACCTTTGCGGAAATCCCCGCTACTATCCGCTACTACTGGATGGTTAATACTGGCTCCTGTCCACATATAACCCGTGTGTATTATACACTCAGATCAGCAAAAGAATATGTTTTGGAGGGCTATTTTTTTAAAAAATTGTTTCCCGTTTTTTTTTTCCCGTTTTCTGGTGGAAGGAAGGAAGGAAGGCAGGGAGGGAGGGAGGGAGGGAAGGAAGGCAGGAAGGAAGGAAGGAAGATGAAGGAAGGAATGGAGCCTGGTCGCCTTTATATCTATGTCTATATCTATCTGTATCTATTCATATCTATCTATATCTAAATCTTTATCTACGTCTATATCTGCGTCTACGTCTATGTCTATATCTATATCTGCATGTATATCTATATGTATATCTATATCTATATCCTTCTATTTCCATATCTATCTCTATATCTATATCTATGTCTATATCTATGTCTATGTCTATATCTATATCTACATGTATATCTATATTTAAATATATATTTTCATATTTATCTCTATATCTATATCTATGTCTATATCTATATCTATATCTATGTCTATATCTATATCTATATCTTTCTATCTATCTAAAAGGTTTGCATTATCATCGAGATGATGTTCAA